TTCGCAACATCAACTGCTTGTTCTTCTCAGCAGTTTCCAGCTCTCGAATGAGCTTCATCCCCACATCATTGGTCACGTAGGGACAATTGTCACGAACTGTGACTTTCACTTCACCCAGCTTGCCATGTGTGAGAGCGCACCCATCGCGATGCCACCTCATCTTGCATCCATGCTGAGTCAACATTCCCAAAGGCACAATTGGCTGCAGATCATCCTTTGTCAACAAAGATCTGCTCATCTTTGACATCCTCAGCTGTGTTTTTCCAGTCGCTGTTTGTACCTCTGTTGGGATCGCCTGCATCCACTCAGTCTCATCATAGGGTCCTCTAAGGATATGCGTGGCCCCTGAGTCCAGTAGCACACCCTGATTGCTGTCAGTCACCACCGCCAACACCCTTGGAGTCGTTGACGTTGTTCGCATTGTTTTCAAAAGACTGGCACCTTCACCCATGACTGAGGGCTGAACTTGTTGTTGTACTTGAGCAACTTGAGGCTGCTGTTGTACCCTGTTGTACCTGAGCAACTTGAGGTTGCTGTTGTATCTGAGCAACTTGAGGTTGCTGTTGTATCTGGGCAACTTGAGGTTGCTGTTGTATCTGGGCAACTTGAGGCTGTGAATCCTTTGAAGACTGATCCACTCCCCCGACCGGCTTGTCCCGGTCCTTGCCTTTTCCCTTGTCGTTCTTGCCATCCTTTGTCTTTCCCTTGCCTTTAGGGCTTCCTTTGGAGCTTTTGTCGCCCGGACTTGTCGTAAGCTTGTCACCAGCGGTGCAGTCTTTGGCAATGTGTTCCAAACTGGAACACTTCCAACATCTCTTCTCCTTGTCGTTGAGATTGTTCCACTCATGGGCATAGGTGCATTTGTCACCCTTGAGGCATCCGTAAGGTTTGCCCCAATGCTTGCATGCTCCAGCTCCTGCACCATAAGCATTGCCTTCTGCATTGTTGCCATAGCCTTTCTTACCAGGAGATCCCTTCTTGCCACCACCCTTGTCACCAGCAGCATTGACCACGTTGATCTTGGGGTTGCCAGAAGTCGGACTTGCCTTTGTCATTGTTCCATGATGCAAGTGATCCGCTTCGGCAATCAACATCTGCAGATAGTTCTCCGCTGTGAGCTGTGTAGGCGCCACATCCACCATATGGGTCATGCGGAAGTTGCTGATGCGAAAGCTCGCTTGATGCTCCTTCGCAATCACTGTCCGCATCACTTCAGAAAGTGCGCTCACCTGCAGCAAGGGATCTGGAACCTGTAGTCCAAGTTCACGAGCTCGCAGGAGTTGGCGTCGCCATTGGCGTAGCATCTCACCAGCTTCAGCTGCAGATTTGGCTGTTGTTGTTTGGGTCAAGTTGTTGAGGATGGTGCTTTTCTCGTTGAGACCACCAGGTTGGTACAGCTTCAAGATGCGAAACACCAACTGCACACATGTCATCTCTCGCAAAGAGATTGCTTCTTGTTTGACCGTCTGTGGCACTGCAGCTAACAACATTGACAGCACACGAGACTCCAACCTGACATACTTGTTCTCAACTTGAAGGTCAGGTTGCACAGCCATACGATCCATTGGACCCGCTGTCAGCCATGTTGCATAGGCATCTTGAGCTCGTTGTACTAGTCCGGTCCACCACACTCTTGCACCTTCTGAGACATCTGAGATCAGCGGCATCAACTCACTTAACCAATCTCCTGCACGAAGGGCAGCTTGAGGCTCTGACACGTCCTTCAAAATTGGCAGTGTAATTGGCACATTTCTCAGCACCTCAGAAGCTTCACCATCAGGACCTTTTGCTTGTGGTTGAGGTTGTTGCCATTGCAGTGGCACTGAACCATATTGCATTGGTGCTGCATACATTGGTACACCAGAAGGTCCAACTCCATGTCCTTGAGGCGGTTGTGGGGGGGGGTGCGGAACATAACCAAAATCCGCTGGTGGACCACCATGTCTGTGCACCGGTTGCTCCCAGTACTCACCTGTCAACCTTGGTCTTTCGCCATGCATCATCCTGACCTCTCTGTCCAACCATGCAAAGCGATCTGCTCCAGGTTGAAGATGATGCTGCTGTTGTGGTTGTTGATCCACTGGAGTCCAAAAATCCTCCAAACCATCAAAACCTGTTCCACCACCCACGTGCTCATCAACTGCAAATGGGTCAAACTGCCATGGTGGAAGTTCTGGAAGATCTGCTACCTCCCGTGGTGGTTGTCCCGGCGGAACTTGAGTTCCTCCAGGTGTTGTTCTTGGTGACAGTGAGTAGTACTGAGGTCGGCGCGGTGGTGTCCTTGGTGGTTCCACGCTTGAACTCTTCTTCTTGAGCTCCTTCTGCAACTCCTCATTCTTCTTTTCAAACTCATCACGCTGGCGTTGCAAGTCCTCAGCATACTTCTTCATCTCTTCCTTTTGTTTCTCCATCTCAAGCTTCTGTCTGTGAAGCTCTTCAACCATTGATTGCTCCAAAGCCCGCTTGAGCTCATCACGCTCATCTCTTCCTTGTTGATTGACATCGTCCACAAAGGTTCTTGTGCTACAACCTTGTACTCCACCTTGTGGTTGCCGACTTGCCTCACGTGGCATCTGTCGTCTCATCTCATACTGTTGCACTCCCATTGGAACTCTTTCCAAGGGTGATCCATCATCTTGCCGATGACCTCGTCTTTGAGATTGATCTCGCAGACCACTTGGTACTGTTCGATGACCTTGAACTTGACGTCGTTCAGGTCCATAACCATGACTGACTCCTCGGTGGCGTCCAGTCTCTTGCACATTTCCTTCAGACCTTGAGGGTCCATGACGGCTGACTCCTCGATGGTGTCCAGCCTCTTGCACATTAACTTCAGACCTTGAGGGTCCACGGCTGACTCCTCGATGGTGTCCAGCCTCTTGCATGATGTCAGACCTTTGAACTGGTATCTCACCTCCCAGTCCTCCAGTCTTCCCACCTTGTCTTGCAACCCCATGAGATGGTATCTCACCTCCCATCCCATTGGGCTGCACAACTCTTCCTTGACCATGCCCCTTGCCAGAACGTTGCACTTCTCCAGCAAGTAGCCCTGTCGCGACACCTCGATGGTGCCCAACTTGTTCAACACCTTGAGGGTGTTCATCTTGATCGACACCTTGAGGGTGCCTAACTTGATCGACACCTTGAGGGTGCCTAACTTGATCGACACCTTGAGGGTGCCTAACTTGCTCGACACCTTGAGGGTGCCCATCACGTCTAACACCTTGAGGGTGTCCACATTGTTCGACACCTTGAGGGTGTCCAGCACGTTGACCTTGTCCAGCATCTTGAGGATACCGAAGGTCCACACCTTGAGAGTGTGCAAATTGATCGACACCTTGAGGGTGTCCTGCATGTTGACCTTGTCCAACATCTTGAGGATGTCGAAGGTCCACACCTTGAGGGTGTACTTCACGGCGACCTTGTCCAGCATCTTGAGGATACCGAAGGCTTTGACCTTGTCCAGCATCTTGAGGATACTGTCGGTCCACACCTTGAGGGTGTACTGCATGTCGACCTTGTCCAACATCTTGAGGATGTCGAAGGTCTACACCTTGAATCTGTACAGCATGTTGACCTTGTCCAACATCTTGAGGATGCCGAAGGTCTTCATCATCATTTGATGGCATAGCCCCTTGAGTCTGCAAGGCCACACCTCGTCTTGTACTCCAACTTGACGGAGCACTCATTCGTCCCATTGCTAGCGGCTCCAACTCTCGCGACGCGTCTGCATCTTCTATCTCCGGAAGGTCCTCCTTGACTGAGACCTCTTCCCTTGGCGTCCACATCGGCTGCTCCATGGCCAACTGACGTGCTTCTCGTAGGTGTTCTTGCTGAACCCCTGCTGACCACCACGGATTCGGCTCGGTGCCCAAGTCCAACAGGTCAGTGCTCACATCCAGTTCTTGCCGTAGAGCCCCTCCATGTTCGCCTCGTAGTAGAGCTCGTCCTCCACCTTGACCATCACTGCCATTGGGTAGAGCTCTTTCATCTCCACGCCGAAGGTCTCTGCCATCATGTCCAGCTCGGTCTCTTCCATGCCCTTCTTGGCCTTCTTGATCCAGCCGTAGAGCACGAGGTCCACTTCTACCAAGTGGCACCGAACACGACCTAGTCCACGACATGGCAAACGCCCCTTCAGCTGAGCGTTGGGCTCATAACCTGTGTTAGGCAGAGCAGCGCGACTTTTGATCCATTAAGAGCCTGCGCAATCACAGGCAGTTGTTGCACTGATAAGAACAGATACTTCACCTGTCCAGCAGTGATAAGAACTGATACTACATCTGTCCAGTTGTACATGCATGCACATGAACCCTTTTGCACAATGAATTACAATGACTTGACGGCAAAATCACTGTGAATGATGCTGAGCTAAGGGGAACAAACCCAAAATTCCCTCATTTCAGTCAGGTTGAAAATTATCAGAACTCAACAAGATATGTGTGTGTGTGCGTGTCTATTAATACGCACAGACTCCGTGGTTTGCCCGGACTGCAACATTGAGGATTCCCTGTCGTCGAGCATGAGAAGAGAAATTGCAGAAAATACTGTGTATACGCAATGTTTTCTGCTTTCGGATTCAGAATGTTCAGGGTTTTAGAGTTTAGGGCTTTACTTGTAGGGTTTTAGGGTTTAGGGTTTTAGGGTTTATGGTTCGTCGTGTGGTGAATACCATGTGAAGGATTAAGGATAATATTTGAACTCCATTCTAAGCTTGCGGGCAAACCATAGGGTCTTGCCGTATCAATATGTATTATAGAACTACAAATTATTGTAGTGCATAATAGTGTGTATATATACACGTTTTGAATACTTTGATGTGTATATATATATAACTGGTTGTTTGTCAAATATCATGTTATATATGTACACATACATAAGATTTAACCAAAGTCTAATATGTTTAAACAATTATTTTATATACATATTATATATAATACATACATATTAAGGTTACCTGAACGGTTACCTGACATATCGATTCGCACATGTCTTCCCAAGGCACTTCTAGGCTGCGTGGACGTGGAAGCGTGCTGGAGTCAGAGCGAGTCGGGGATCTCAGGGGAAATTTAAGGAGGACCCTTAGCAATCCTTACAATGTGAGGCCCCCAAGATAGCGTTAAGTTGGTTTATAACTCCAATAACTATGGTTTATGGTATTTATAACGAACTAGTTACTGGGGCTTTTCTGAACCAACTTAGCAATCCTTAGCAATCCAACTACTTGGTGGTTCATCCCACAAATCGTAAGTGGGTTAGTTCACCCCAGTGATTTCAGTGGATTCACCCTACAAAAATCCCATGTAAATCACTGGGGTTATAAACCACTTACGATTCGTGGGATGAGCCACCAAGTAGCATCCAAATACCAAATATCATCACTGGCTGTGAATGGTGATTTTTTCACAAAAAATGGGAAAACAATGGTTAATTATGGCTGAGTTATGGTTGATAAATGTTGATAATCTGGTTGGTGGTTTGGAACATGAATGGATTCTTTTCCCCAATAGTTGGGATGATGATCCAATCTGACTTTCATATTTTTCAGAGGGGTTGAAACCACCAACCAGATAAAATATCGGTTCAATATGGTTTAGAGACAAACTTCTTTACCTCAGTTAACAAACAAACATTGTGGTCATTAAGCAATGGAAATTGGTGTGAACCGACAAGAAATGCGGATTTACAGTATATAATCAGAATTCACCAGCAAGAGAAAACATATTTTGCAACAAACATAAGCTCTATGAGATAAGACAGCTCGAACCACATTTCTTGAAGTCTCCAAATCCAATACCTAGCAGACCTAACATTATGAGTCCAACAACACAGATAATACATGGCTTTGGCTTTACAGGAAAAACACAAAAATAAAACAAAGAAAAAACAAAACCAGAGCAATCACAAAAAAAACAAACCAGAACACATCAGAAAACCAAAAACAAAAAACAAAGAATTGAACTTGAAATTGACTTGGCAACTTGGGGACTTCCGGCCATTTGACAGATTCATTCCTCGTGGAGTTTGCCAGGGACACAGTTCTTGAGAACCGGCAGGTCAAGGAATCCTCGACCAAGGCCCTAGACTGCTGGAATTTTGTGGCGTTTCCACATCCGCGCAGTCCACTGATGCCATTTTGGCAAGTACCATTTTTTTCAAAAGCATTGATGGCCGAAACTGTGTGACATGTTTTCTCACTAATTACCGGTGAGATGCACCAGCGCGTCTTTTGATCTCTTGCTTGTTTTGCATTCCTCTGAGCAGGCCGCAAAACACGGGTTAGTCTTTAATGTCGATCTGTTTCTGACGTTTTCACACCTATGATCGCATATTTTGTGGCATTCCCGTTGAAGTGCAGGCGAGAGCGAGCATTTGGTCACTGACGTCAATATATCTACTGAAACTGTCTTTTACATACACAACTATGTATATATATATAATATTATGTATATATATATATATGTACAGATATAGATTATAGATAAACATAGGGACATAGACAAGCAATGTATATATGTAAACGATGAAACATATATATATATATATATATATTAAAAACATGCCATACTTGTTGCGGCATGTATGTCTACATCGTCCCTCGGTGGCTGTTGTTTTACTCGTCCAAACTTCCATCGTCAATGAACGTCTGTTGAAAATCAACGCAAGACATATGAGCCATGGTCAATACTCATGGTTAATAACCATTAATAGGGGCTAGTCATCCAATGGTTCATAGGGATTTATAATAACCATTATAAGGATCCTTATTATGGATGGGATGACCATCAACCATATAGTGAGTATTGATCATGGCTCATATGCAACTCCACTCCTCCGCTATGTCACAACAATTCCCCAAAACAAACTCAAACAAAACACAAATCCAGGATGCAAAGAAAATCAAAGAAATCCGTCCAAACACAAATTGCAAACACAGATGCAAATCCAGGATAGAATCAAATCCATGAGTGAAACACTGCCAAGAATAGATTGCAAAAACGAATCACCATGCAAACTAATGCTTTCTAAAATATAAACAATGCAAAACAAAAACACAACATGTTCACATCCCTACCAGGGACACACCTTCACAAAACATAGGGACCTTTGGTTGTTTAACCAATAATAATGGATGTTCCATTAACAAAAAATTGTGTTTCAAACAAAATGGAGGTTGTTTCGGCAACTCAAATATGGTTCAGATCCCCTTTTTTTTGTTTTCAGAACACCAACTTACCCTCTGGTAATTTAACGTAGCTATGGAAAATCACAATTTTTAATGGGAAAACTCACTATAAATGTCAATTTTCAATAGCTACGTTAAATTACCAGAGGGTACCTATTTCTGGGGGCCCCTCCCACGGCTGCCACTGTTGCATGTGGTGGCACCTGAGGTACGCCAGTGTCCTGAAGAAGAACCCTGATATGCCGCAGGTGCCCGGGGTCTTTTTGTGGTGGCTACAACAGGGTCACGGATGAATCAAGGATCCTCACCCAAATGCTCCATGTATGGTATATTTACCTACATTTGGGTGATTTTTAGGGCAAATGTTAGTAAATGTTCCATACATGGAGCATATGGGTCATACTGTTTCAATTATTCCATGGTGTTGTAAAGTTCTCAAACATGTAATTTGGAATGTTGTTGCGATCATCTTCCACAGAAGTTTCAAGAAGTCACCGAAATGCTAGTGTAGTAGTGGTTGGGGCCTTGACAAAAAAAGTCATGTTGAAGTCATGTTGAGAAAATCTACAAGGTGGTGCCCCCCTAGTTATAAGTTGGTTTATAGACCCCATTAACTATAGTTATAAGTACCATAAACCATAGTTATTGGAGTTATGTTCACCAACTTAGCTAACTATGGGGCACCACCTTGTATCTTTTGTGGATCACTCGAGTTGACCTCCATGAGTGCCTGTGCGAGATCGGCATACCCCATGACGGATCCGGCTGGTGCTGGTATGCTAACATGACTGGGGTATATTGATGGCTGGTGCTGGTATTTCTTTCGACCACAATTGCGGATATGTGTGGTGTACTTGGTGGTGAACTACCCACGAATCGTAAGTGGGTTATAACCCCAGTGATTTACATGGGATAAGTAGGGTTAATCCACTTATAACTGGGGTTATAACCCACTTACTAAGTGGGAGGAACCACCAAGTATGGTTTCTCAATCGGATCGACCTTGAAAATCTCGGATCTAGGGTTTCCCTATTGATGCAGAAAAACCCTCCAGGAAACATCTTCATGCCTAGCTGAAAATAATCCATTTCTACAAGGTGGTGCCCTCTAGTTATATTTGTTGCTTTGCAACTATAGTAATAATCGCCATAAACCCTATAGTTGAAGTATTTGTATCAGATTCTAAAAAAACTTAGCAAACTAGCGAACTGAGGCACCACCTTGTATATATTGGTAGAATTGACCGTAGCTATTCGATATAGGGTCTCAGGGATTTTATCGCCGCGTTCCATTGACAGTGGACCACTACAAAGGAAACTTCAGGGTATCAACTGGTTTGGATAAAATCAACAAGGTGGTGCCCCCCCAGTTATAAATTAGTTTATAGCCCCCATAAAGTATAGGTATATCTACTATAAACCCGAGTTTTTGGAGTTATAAACCAACTTAGCTAACTATGGGGCACCACCTTGAAGGTATTGAACGGCAGGGTACCTGGATTAAAAATCCTGCCTTTTAGCCTTTTCTGTTGACAAACATAATTCCATGAATCACTGAGGGGCCACTATTTGCAACTGGGTGTATAGTCACTCATAAACCCAACCGTTTGCTCGATGATTTTCAATCATCTTGTCTGGTAGTGCCACCCCCACCGCTTACGTTTGCTGCAAGGTGGTGCCCCCCAGTTATAAGTTGGTTTATAAACCCCATTAACTATAGTTATAAGTACCATAAACCATAGTTATTGGAGTTATGTTCACCAACTTAGCTAACTATGGGGCACCACCTTGTACAAACACACACTTAACTAATCTTCACTATAGATATCTCCACCGTCCCAGAGTTCACCTACTGTCAACCAACTTAGTTATAGGGCACCAACTTGCACCAGGAAACACAGTCATTCCACTTGGTCCAAGGACTTAATGAACTGATTAGATCTGATTAGTTCAAGTGGATTACAACCCACTTTCATATTAAGCAGTTCACTAGCTCTACCAGTTGGTGCCCCATAGCTAAGTTCTTTGAGCCCGCATTGACTGTAGTTATTTCATCACCATAAACCCTCTAGCTGGTTGGTGGTTTGGAACATTTGGATTATTGTTCCATATATTGGGAATTTCCATCCATCCCAACTGACGAACTCACTCCATCATTTTTCAGAGGGGTTAGCAGCTCAAAACCACCAACCAGCCATAATTAGCCAATGATTAACCATCATTAACCACTATTTTCACCACGTGATTAACCATTATTAATCATTATTAACCACCAACCATTTATAGTGAAGTTAACCATTATTAACCAACCGTTATCAACCATTATTAACCATTATTTAACCATTATACTGTTATTATTAACCAACCACCAACCAGTATTTAATTTTTCTCGGTGATCGTCACCGTCTCATCGTTTCCGCGTAAACCATGCGTTTCCCGCCAGGAGGAGAGCGAAAGCGACTTCATCTTCTGGTGCGACGTAAAATGCCGCTGTGGATCGATGCGTTGGCACCAAATGGTTGGTTAATAGTGATGGTTAATAGTGGTTAATGGGATCTAATGGGATATCACAATCAATAATGGAACTAACTATAGTTAATGAATATAATAGTTTATAATGAATATCTGGTTGGTTAATAGTGATGGTTAATAGTGGTGGTTAATAGTGGTTTTCTTGTGCAAAATCACCAATTTTTGATGTAATCAGTAATGTTGATGTAAAATCACTGATTGGTGGTTAAAAGTGATGGTTATATAATAGTGGTTTTCATAGACTATAAACCAAGAACAATGAGAATATGATGGTGATCTGGTTGGTGGTTTGGAACATTTTTTATGTTGCCATATATTGGGAATAATCATCCCAACTGACTTTTATATTTTTCAGAGGGGTTCAAACCACCAACCAGATGTAAAATCAATGTATGTATGGAGGCGTCCTTCGCAAAGTCGCGTTCAGCTATCTTACATGGCAAGTTTTGTTGTCCAGGTTGATATGTCATCGACCTACAAGGTGGTGCCCTCCAGTTATAAGTTGGTTTATAAACCCCATTAACTATAGTTATAAGTACCATAAACCATAGTTATTGGAGTTTTAAACCAACTTAGCTAACTATGGGGCACCACCTTGTATGTTTAGAAATGCATGCTATTGACTTTCACCCCTGCATGGTGTCCATTTGAATTTTGATATGTGTGCCATGACCAACACGAACTTTTTGGTCAGCACTTTGAACTGTGTCCCGTACGAATGGCAGACTCGCACCAAATGGACAAAATCCATTCTTTTTTTGGATTCATCCCATTGTTCATCTTGATTTATCCGCTAACATCTTGATTTTATGGAACACATGGACAAAATCCGCAAAATGAACTCCATTCTTTTCTGGATAACATTCTAATCTTTGCCATCTTAAGATTTCTCCACATTTGGTGAACTGAAAGCTGAGGAACATACCACAGAAAACTCCACAATTTTTTTGGACGGTGAATCCGATAGGTTTCCGTATTATTTCTTGACCGCTTAATTTGTTTACGTTCGGAATCCCGAAAAAATGCATCTTCAATGACGTTGGTAAATGATCTAAATTTGTTCAATGACGTTGTGTTTTTTTTCCTAATTAGTCATCCCATTGTTCGTTACATCCCCATATTTAATTTATTGTTTTTCATCACGTTGAATCCCAACTTTCATGAGAGAACCCCAACTAGTATTCTTGATGGTTAGCCGATTTCTGGAGCCGCTGGATGGTAAAAAAAACAAGTTTTGCTGCTTAGATTCACCAGTTGTCTGTGAAAAATAGAGAATTTCCCTGAATTTCCAGAATTTTTGATGGTATCCGCCACATAAATTCCTGAATTTTGATCCATTGAGTCAAACTTCAGCTTTTTTTGCCGGAGGTGTTTGAGACCACGACGTTTGTTGGTGCCATTGAAGATGGGTGGCGACCACAAGGCGCGTCAGATTTTTCGTTCTCGGAAAATTCGGAAATTGTGGATGCTTTGATCAGAAAAATGTGATTTTTTTGTGAGTTCAAAAATTTCAAAAGAAACAGTGGAATCAGTTCAACCACGGGGTTTAAGTAGCTTAATTGGTAACTGCACCAAGAAAACATGGGGATTGAAATCAGCCAAGAGAAACGGGGACTTACGCAATTGATAAAGAATCAGACTTACCATCTGGTTATGACATTCACAGTTCGCCATGGAAAGATCCACCATTGTTAAGAACGGTAAACCATCTATTTTCATGGGCCATGGCTTAACCATGGCGAACTATTAGTCATAACCAGAGGGTAATATCCCATATCATCCCATGAAATTAAATTCACCATTTTCTAACCATAGAAAATCACCATTTTCCTAGTGGTTAGTCATAACCAGAGGGTAAATCCCATTGCTTTCTAGCAAGTAGCAAACATTACCAGGCCGTGCTAAGATGATCCAACTGAGATGAGACAGTCTCAACAACCACAATGAACAAATGCCCAAGCCTCAGTGAATTGTCATCATGAATGATTCCCATCGTGTGATGTGATGTCTTGCGGTATACACGGTGTACAGTAATACAATGTAATTTAATACATACTAATACGAACAGCCCCCCCTGAGCCGAAGAGTTATTTACCTGTGTGTTAATAGTTTTGTTTTGTGTGTGTGTGTGTCAATGGCAATTTGAGTCATCGACCATCATTGACCTATTTATCAGAACCGGTTGGTGGTTTTCCATTTCATACATGGGATGTCATCCTTTCAATTGACTCATATTTTTCAAGATGGTTAAGTCACCACCAACCAGAATATGTCTAGATGTGTTACCCTCTGGTAAACATACAAAAAACCATGGACAAATCACCATTTTTTCATGGCTAAATCTTACATAACTATGGAAAATCACAATTTTTCATGGGTAAATCCACGATTTCTATGGCCATGTTCTGCCTCTTTTTTGGCGTTGGCAACGTTGGCGAAGCGCGAAGCTCGCGCGAAGCGCGCCGCCAGATTTGGAGATTGGAGAAGTCGTCCCTGGCTCCAGCTCAGGCGGCGCTGGGATGGGATGCGTTGGTCTGGAGATCGCCTCCGGGAAACCAACAGTTTGCTATTGAAAATGGCCCATTTATAGTTATGGTGGATTTAGAGTGGATTTACCCATTGAAAATGGTGGATTTACCCATTGAAAATGGTGATTTATAGTTGATATCTACCCATTCATAGCATGGTGATTTTCCAAAGTTATGTTGCTTAGCAGGGAATGAGGGAATACGGGAATGATCCATAATCACTACGTTTAGCACCAGTAAGAAAAATATTTCTTGAATTCAAAAAATGTTCAGAGATGCGTCTGTCTGAAGATAGCTAAGTTGATTGAAATCACTTGGTTATTTGGGGGTTTAAAACCAGCTTATATCTGGGGGGTCGGCTTATAGGATACTCCTCAATCCACATCCACTGGTTTCTCATTTTGGATTTCCAATTTGAGTGATATAGTGGCATAGTATGGCATGGTGGTATACAGTACCCCATTTTGAGACTGGGATGTATTGGGAAGCTTCTCAAAAGATTCTAGAAATGATTCCCATGGCAAGGTGCACTGGACCGTTTTGGATCACCTCTGTAGAAGGTACAGCAACGCAAAGACTTCACTGTAGATAGTAAGAAGGTACATAGGGGAGACATCAATTCCAGGAATATGCATGTTTCAGGTTCGTTACGAGCCTACATTTGTATAATATGATATAATATATACAATCCAATGTTTCAGGTTTGTTCAGGAATTTTCCCAGATACAATGCACATGGTTACATGTATATACATTGCAATTGGTTATGTTACACATGGTTTTAGAATATATGCAGTGCATGCCTGCGTGTTCTGCCCCACTGGGTCGACTTGGATGGACAATTGAAGGCAGTTGCTTTGTTTTGTTTGTTATTAGTGTTGAGTATGTATCGTACATCTGTTGCCAACCAGCTATACATAATATATATATATAATATATTATATAATATTTAATATATAATATATAATAATTTAATCTTATATATATAATATCTGTATTATATATCTATATTATATATACAGTTATTTAATATAATATAATATAATATGATATAATATAATATAATATAATATATATATATATAATATAATATATATATATAATTATATATATAATATAATATAATATAATATAATATAATATATATATATATAATATAATTAATATTATATAGAATATGTTATATATCATAGAATGTATATAATATAATATATATATATATTATAATATATAATATATTATAATATAATATATATATAATATAATATATATAATATAATATATATATAGTATAATGTATATAATATAATATATATATATAGTATAATATATATAATATATAATATATATATATATATTATAATGTAAATATATTTTAGTATAAATATATATGATATAATATATATATATACTATAATATATATATATGATTTTTTAATATAATATATATAAATATCATATTATTATATTATATTATATTATATTATATTATAATATATTTTATTATATTATAATATAATATATTTTATTATATTATATTATTTAATTGTATTTTATAATTATTTTGTATATATTTATATTATATATTTATAATATATAATTATATTATATTATATTTTATTATTTCATATTATATTATATTACAATATATTATAAAATATTATGTTATATTATATTATATTTTTTAATATTATATTAAATTATATATTAAATATTATATGTTTTTTTATTATATATTAAATATAATAATATATATATATATATATTTATTATATTATATATATTCCATCGTATCCCGTCAAATATCACATTTATTGACCCACTACATTCAATGAATATAAATGAATAGGCTGTAAATTCCCATTATTGATGCTTAAATAAATATACATCAAACATCAAACTGAATCGTTCATACTATTTCTTCATTATTCCCTTGTGTTTGTAGATTATCCTCATTAAAACTAGGGAAAGACCAACTTTTTAGTTTATTAGTTCATCAGATTTTTATGCTTATTTCTTAGTTTATTAGTTGATTCTCTGTTTTAATGTGTATTTCGTCACTATTCCCTCATTCTTTCCCTCACCTTTGCCAGCGCGGCTTGCAACCCGTGCGATGGCCCAAACCCCTCGACGACGAAAAGTCCATGGCATCGTCTGGGAAGCCGAGGAATGGGTGAGACGTGGCCAAGAATTGTGCTCTACCATCTGGGAATCAATTGAAAGGATGACATCCCATGTATGAAATGGAAAACCACCAACCGGTTCTGATAAATAGGTCAATGATGGTCGATGACTCAAATTGCCATTGACACACACACACAAAACAAAACTATTAACACACAGGTAAATAACTCTTCGGCTCAGGGGGGGCTGTTCGTATTAGTATGTATTAAATTACATTGTATTACTGTACACCGTGTATACCGCAAGACATCACATCACACGATGGGAATCATTCATGATGACAATTCACTGAGGCTTGGGCATTTGTTCATTGTGGTTGTTGAGACTGTCTCATCTCAGTTGGATCATCTTAGCACGGCCTGGTAATGTTTGCTACTTGCTAGAAAGCAATGGAATTTACCCTCTGGTTATGACTAACCACTAGGAAAATGGTGATTTTCTATGGTTAGAAAATGGTGAATTTAATTTCATGGGATGATATGGGATATTACCATCTGCTTATGACTAACAGTTCGCCATGGTATAGATGGCCCTAATCGAAATAGATGGTTTACCGTTCTTAATAGCATGGTGATTTCCCATGGCTATGTTACATAATCAGATGGTATCTCTACTATAAATATCTACAAATCCATGATTCATGATTTTTCTAGTGATTGATGGTGATTTTAATGGGATAGAATGAGGATATAATAGTGATTAATGTGATCATAATGGGGATAACCATCTGGGCAAATTTAATCACGACCTCACTGTGACCTCACTGGAATCGTGGTTGGCAAGGGGAATCATCCCCAAATGGCGCGCAAATTCAGGTTAGTGAAGTATTATGACTTACCCAGAATCTATCTCGACTATAAATCCAATGATTAGATATATGTATATACATATATATATATATTATACAAGTAGCATTGGGCACCAACTTGGCTATGGGGCATCACCTTGCCCCCTACAGGAAACACCGTCATTCCACTTAGAATCTATGGATGGTCCAAGGACTATGTGGTCTGATTAGTTCAAGTGGATTATAGGCCACTTTTTCCCCCAGATATCAAGGGGTCTATTCACCAATTAACAGACTCTACAAGGTGGTGACAGTGTTGACCCAGGTAGGAATTGCTACCCTTCTTGGTAATTTAACATAGCTATTGAAAATGGCTATTTATAGTTGATTTATCCATTAAAAATGATGATTTTCCATAGTTATGTTAGTTTAGCAGAGGGTAAGTTGCTGCAAATAACTAGGTTCACTGTCCACTGTTGGGTTTATGCTGATGAAATAGCTACAGGGTAGGTCTAGCCACCTTGCGGGGAGGTAGTGAACTGATCAGTAAGTGGATTATAAATCATCGCCTTGTAAAGGGATTTCAAGGCAGTAAAAACCAAGTCCATGATTCATGATCTTTACCCTCCGGCAATTGAACAGTTTGCTATTTAAAATGGTCATTTATACTTGATTTACCCATTGAAAATTCGTTGGTGATTTTCCACAGTTATGTTAGTTTAAGGGTAGAAGCTCTGTTTCGGAGTTTGTCAGTTCAATCCCCATTTCTTATGATTAAATTCCATGCGTGTGTGTGTGTGACTAAAATGGCTATAATTGTTTTTTTTCCCCACCTGCCAGGTGAGGGCTGTTAGATTTTATCTAAGTTGCCTCCTCCTGCCTCCTGCCTCGTCCTCCTCCTCCTCCTCCTCCTCTCGTTGTCCTCCTCGTCCTCCTGCTCAACTGCGACTCGCGATCCACAGTGTTCGCTGTCGGACCTCAACCACGACCATCCACGCCCAGTGTTCCCTGCCGGACCTCAACCACGACCATCCACGCCCAGTGTTCCCTGCCGGACCTCAACCACGACCATCCACGCCCAGTGTTCCCTGCCGGACCTCAACCACGACCATCCACGCCCAGTGTTCCTTGCCGGACCTCAACCGCGAGTATCCACGCCAAGTGTTCCCTGCCGGACCTCATGTAGGAAGATAAAATGTCAGATAGAGTGCCAGAAGATTTGCCAGGTAGAATGCCAGAAAATATGCCAGAAGATATGCCAGATAGATATGCCAGAAGATATTCCAGAAGATATGCCAGATAGAATGGCAGATAGAATGCCAGATAGAATGCCAGAAGATATGTCAGAATATATGCCAGAAGATATGCCAGATAGAATGCCAGATAGAATGCCAGAAGATATGTCAGATAGAATGCCAGAAGATATGCCAGATAGAATGCCACAAGATTTGCCAGATAGAATGCCAGAAGATATGCCAGATAGAATGCCAAATAGAATGTCAGAAGATATGTCAGATAGAATGCCAGAAGATGTGCCAGTAAGAACATGTATAAATGTCATGGTGGGGATCACACGAAGCAAAGTATTTTTTTTTTAACTGTCGTATGTGTGGCTTGAATCCCTGTTGTTGTTAGCTGAATTCCAGTTCTAGTTGGTTTGACTGTTCCTATTTGGTCCCTCAAATGAGTCTTCTTATGCCGGTTCAGGGTCATGGCGTTCGTATGTGAGAAGCGCTAGTTTTGGACGACCAACATATTCATGGTGAGCAACACTTGACCAACGCTTCACCAAATGCTTGAAGCTGATCCAATGATTTTTTGGCAATTGTCAAAATATGCCAAGATCATTAAACATCTCACAATGAGTCTCTGTTTATAGCACATTTTACATTGACACTGCCATAATAATCATCATGATTATTGATACTCCAACTGGTTTTGTTTTTCAACCATATTCAATGGCCATTTCAAGATCCTACCATATATAAGGCCTATGTAAGGGAATATCCCCACAAAATATGGCCTTATATGGTACAGTACCTCCATTTTAGGATCCTGGAATTCCCATTGACATATTTTATATTGTTGACTCCACTGTATACGGCGTTGTCACATCACGCTCGGATGATCCTGAGAATTCATGTCCGAGATCATCCAAGTATGGTCGGGGTCAGGGTCAATATATTTTTTCACTAATACCCATAGGATCCATGGTGCTGCTATATATGGTGCTCCATGGATCCCATCAATATACCCCATTTGTGTTAGCATATATACCAGCACCATGGATCTTATGGGATAGATACCTTAACGATCTGGATTTCATGCTAAGCCTTCGAATTTCCCGGCCCAAATTTTCATCACCCGCGTCGGCAAAGGCCGGCGATCGAGAAGACAGGCACTTTGGGGCAAACCATACTTGGTGGTTCATCCCACTTAGTAAGTGGGTTATAACCCCAGTTATAAGTGGATTAACCCTACTTATCCCATTTATAACTGGGATTATAAACCACTTACTAAGTGGGATGAGCCACCAAGTATGGAGATTAGTGACGGTTTCTGATTGCTCTTGTCTGAAAAGGTCCATCAACCTATCCACTGCGCAAGAAACCACTAACCTCCCTGCAAAAAAAACACCACACAACCTGTAGTCTGGCTGGGTAGGTTAGTGATAATCATCAACCCCTGTAATCTCTATATAATCCCATGCCCAGTTCATATCAAACACCCCCCATCCCAGATATTTGAGTTCATCCCCGAGTAAACCCTGATTTCTGGAGGTGTTTCATATGGTGAATGGCTCGTCCCGCGAATCGTTCTAGTTATGTCGGTTAACCATGAGTAACCCTACTTATCCCACTTCATTGGGTTTTTTTTTACGCTACCCTCTGGTAATTTGTTACAGTTTGCTATTGAAAATGGCCATTGAAATAGTGAGTTTTCCCATTAATAGCATGGTGATTTTCCATAGTTATGTAAACGTTTACCAGAGGTACTTACTAACAGGGATGAGCCACCAAGTATAGATGTTCAACCTAATCGGGATGATCATCGTGCAACAAGACTTCATCGCAGAGGAGCTACGGCCGCCAAATGACCGCCGCTAGGCGCGTAGGGCCCAAGCTGAGCCAACGGCGTCCAGTTGGGCGGATGCAATGGAATAGATTGAGTTGTATCAACGATATGATATGTGTTGTCATGTGGTAATCCGCGCCCCAACTTATGACCATTTAATGGGACAATCATAATTATTATCTATATTTTAAGATGTTCGTATCATATTCCTATTTCCCATCATCATAATTAATGAAATTAAATATAGTTATATGGGATAATCCTTCCCAGCCATTGACTTTCATATTTTTCAAGATGATTATTTCACCACCAATCAGATAATGTTGTTTTTTTAATAGGTAAAGCATCTGTAAATGGACCATCTATACCATGGCTATGTTAGTCATAACCAGAGGGTAAATTGCTTTGAAAACAACAGTAGCCATAGATGTATCTACCATATAGCATAGCATTGCAAGTTCCACCGCGGCCTGGTTCTAAAGCATCTTAAAACTAGTTGTTTTTTTTTCATTTTTTTTTTCATTTTTAAAGTTCATTTGGAAATCTGCTTTTTTTCCTGCCTTCATTTTGAATTCATTTTCATTTCTGCTTTTTTTGGCTTGTGATTGGAGTTTGTGATCCCCAGTGGAAAAAATGAAACATTTTTGGGCCTTGCTGGGCTTCCTTGGGGCTTTTGAGGCTGTCTCTGGCTGTGACAGGTTGGGGTTCTTGCTTGGCATGGCCAAAATGTTCAAATTGCTGGAGAAAGTGTTCCAAAGCCTAAGAAATTAAGTTTCTAAATATAAATTTTGACAATTGTTTCATTTGTGGCAAAGGGAAACCTGGCCAGGATTTGTTGAGGTTGATTGCTCAACTTAACTTAACTTAAACCAACCAAAAACCAAAATCCTAAACCCTAAACTCTTAGGGTTTAGGGCGGGTTTGGGATAGGGTATTTGAACTTGAAATTTTGAAACAAGGAGATAAACAAAAAACAAACTTTTGCTTCGAACATTTTTCCGGAATGAAAAAAAAATGAACTTTTGACGTGGGCAAAGTTTCAGAATGAACTTTTTTTGGGGACCAGAAAAAAAATGAACTTTCAGAATGAAAAAAAATGAAAAAAAAAACGAAAAAGTTCATTTTTTTTTTTCCATTTTTTTCGTTTTTTTTTCATTTTTTTTTCATTCTGCAAATCTGGTCTGACATGAAAGTTCATTCCAGAAATTGGCTCAACATGAAAGTTCATTTTTTTCCCCTTCTGAAATTTTGATCAGCAGGACGGTTCACTCTGTTCGATTCTCTTCTCTTTGATTTGTTTTGGCAATTTTGAAAAGTCAGAAATCGTTTTTTTTTAATATTCTTTTTGTTTTTAGATTTTTAAATTCTAGATTTTAAAAGTTCATTTTTTTCCATTTTGAAAGTTCTTTTTTTTTAATTGTGTTTCTTCTTCTTTTTTTGGACATCATTTTGAAAACTGCTTGGTATGCCACCTGGTATTTCAAAAACTGGTACTTTGGAACTTTCTTATTTTCAAAACTGGTACTCTTGGCTGCTTTTGTTTTTCAAAAGGAACTATTTAACTATTTCACAAACCTGAGACTTTTGAGGAACAAAGGCAGCCAAGAGTACCAGTTTTGAGGGTAAGAAAGTTCCAAAGTACCAGTTTTTAAAATACCAGGTGGCATACCAAGCAGTTTTCAAAATGATGTCCAAGAAAAAGAAGAAGAAAAAAGCAGAAAAAAATGAAAAAAAAATGAACTTTTAAAATGAAAAAAAAATTAAAAAAAAACAAAAAAAAACTGATTTTACTATTTCTTAGAACCAGGCCGACGAGGGAACTTGCAAGCATAGCATAGTTCCGAACCCACTTAGTTATCATAAATCAGTCATAAATATCCATAAATATCATTAGTTATCCACATGGAGAGCACCATTTATTGCCTGGTGGATTGAACAATCGACGTGGTTTTCCATCAGGATGATGATCCCCGACGAACTTCAAAGATATTTCTAGGAGCTTGAAACTATCAACCATTAAATGTGGTTAAATGTCTCTCCTCTCTATGTGTATATATATATATATACATATTCCATTATATATGATATTATACTATATAATACTATAATATATATAATATACATACAATTCTCTGGAAGAGAGAGAGAGAGAGACATTCCAGTGAAATCATGATGGTGTCAAACGACCTCACCACTGAATAAAGGTCAAGGGATGTCAAGGAAAATTTCACCAAAACTGACCGCGACAGTCAGGCTGGAAAAAAATGTGGTTTTGTCCCATATTGCAAGCAGTAGCCCCTGAGACAAAAGAACTCTGAAGCTGTAAGGATAATAGCACCAACAGAAGAATAAGATTCTATAATTGTATATCAATTGTATAATCAAGAGAGTGGGGATTCACCCCTTGATGCTTCAGGCCCAGCTATTTCCTGAAGCGAAACAAATGTTTCCTGGAAAGTTCCCCGAAACCACCAGAATCATCCTGGCACCAAGCACGTTGGATGCTCGTCCCTACTTGAAATCGTGTTTGTTTGAATTCGTCATGTGCCTTCACCAGTAGAAATCAGAAAGTGAAAAAGACGGTTTTCGTTCAGGGGGTGATTTGGGGAACAGTCTTTTCACGATTCGAATGCCAGAACGCCGAATCAGCGGCATGGACAGCTGACATTCACATAGCAGAAAAAAGATGGGCCATGTTGATTCCTGTTTATGGTCGCGTCAAGGATACCAGTTCGTATGGGTCGCAGTCTTGTGCCCAATGTGGCATGTACAATGCAGAATAAACCGTTCCTTCTTATCAACCATTGGTGCCTTACAAAAAACTCTCCTGAGTAGGTGTAGACTGTTACCACAAATTGGGGATGATCTATTATTGTGAACCCCCCCATTGCCATACATGTATGTTATATTTTACGGAAAGCTCAGGGTACCTCCCCAAACATACCAGAAACGGGAATAGGGGTGTACTGGGCCCCTGATATGATATAAGTCTATGCCCGGAAACATAATCATTGTTATTTGATAACCTCAATCATTGCTTATATATATGTATGTATTTGATATAATGCAATGTAACCCTTCTTTGTTGTTCTTTGTTGGGGTTTTAACATGGATGAGAAATCGATTGACTTATCTTCTTTGTGCCGCACTGTGGGCCAAATGTTTTGACCCACCCTGTTGGCCATGTGACAGATATGGCCCTCGAAGCTTTGTGAAGGGGTGAAGGAATAGTTCATAGCCCACCGAAAAGTGACTACTCATGTGTGGTCAATGATATAAACTTTTAGCGAGCTACTAAGCTAGATGGACTACGCATTTCATAGGGTTAAACGCTCTTAGGGGGTGGTCATCTCAGACAATATATAGCTATGACAAGACTTGTCAACAAGCACATGCTGGTGGAATTCAAGCAGGGCTCCGTGGCCTTCTAGCATACTTGGGAAAAGCAAGAGACTCCTCATTTATAGACTACACTATAGAATCTCCATGAGCAATGCATCAAATTATATTTCCAGCTGGTTTATTTGATGCCTGTTCAATTGTGCTTAAAACGATTCTCCTATCATTTTCCATATGTACTGTTGTTGGTCATCCGCACCTTTGCCTGGTTAAGTCTCGATGTTTGAATCTAGTCTATACCAACATCTATGACAAGAATAATCAAGAATTTAATAACCAAAATCACCAAGGCGTATGCATATGTATTCACCATTCATGGATATTCACGGAGCATATGGGAAACATAACGAAGGTACCACAAAATCTCATGCTTGCACATCATTCACTACATTGAAGTGTAAAGTGGAGGACATAGCACACACCCCTGAGTATCTCCTATGAGAATCCGCAGCGAAGCCCACTTCTTGAATTCTGCCTATGGGCTCAGACGGCACAGATTCATGCCCCATTTTGTGGAAGACTCCAGTGCAAAGTGGTCTGAATTCTGAAATCACCTCTTACTGTGCCAAAAGGTCGGAGTAGTTAAGTTGTTCTTCCAAAAAAGGAGTAAGGAAAGCCACCAGAAACTAAAACAAGACACATGGTGATTCCAAGAGAATTGCGTGACTCTCCAAAACCCTTTCAGAAAAGCAACTCAACTAAAAGAAAAATACATTTTTTCAAGGGAAAAACGGGAAAAACCATGGAGGAACTCCTCAAAACTGCTGAAAAAGGCCGTGTTTTTTTCCCTATCGCAATGGCGGGCCCCATGGGGGAGACCCTGGTGGATCGGATGCATCGGGAGATTGAGATCATGACCAGACGATCCTTGGGATCAGTTGGGATTCGTTGGGGCCACCTGGGCCTCCAAATGTTATGTTTGTTGCTTTAGATTCGCTCCATGAATACTCTCTTGGTAAATTATAACGACCTCACTGCGACCTCACTGGAATCATGGTTAGTAAGGGAAATCATCCCCAAATGGCCTTAATTCAGGTTAGTGAAATATTGTAATTTACCCAGGTGAATTGAATGCTATAGTATACTATAGTTATACTGGTTGGTGGTTTGGACCAAGAATATCTATATATCAATAGTGATGGTTAATAGTGGTTAATAGGCTATAAACCAACAACAATGGGAATATGATGGTGATCTGGTTGGTGGTTTGGAACATGAAATTTATGACTTTCCATCTATTGGGGAATAAGGTGAACACTTGACTTTCATATTTTTGAGAGGGTTTGAAACCACCAACCAGTATAAGATGTTATACGTATCATAAGCCATAGTGAAATTGGAGTTATCTTCACCAACGCAGGGCTCCACGTTCGACTTATGTTCGTTGATTTAGAAACCCCATCAACTGGGCAAGACGGAGGCTTAAGTAACGACCGTCAAAGTACGGAGAATTTCACCATCAACAATCTGGGAAAACTAACTGCTTATATATACATATATATATATATACATGTATATATATATATATATTGTCAAAGGGAACGTAGTAATAGCATACAAACAATTCATGCATGGGACGCCACTTTGGCTCAAGACCCCCTGCGTGAGCAAAAGGAAGTGATCACCGTCCGCCATGTCTTACGGGTCCGGGAACTACCAGTGAAACAGGTACCACTTGAACTATAACATCCAGAACAAGGATCAAATTGTTCACAGGTTATCAGCCGTAGGGCTCACTTCTCCCGCCGGGAGAGTGGTACCTGCGTGCTGGTAGCCGGGCCTTCTGAGCAATTGATTGAGGACGCAAAGGACCAATCAGCTCATCATCGCAAAGATGCAAGGCGGCAGCGGAGATTCGCGCACCACGCAGTTTACCTTCAATGAGAACACTGCCATGCCGGTCGAGGAGGTCAATCAATCTTCCCCTGGTGACACGGCAGACAGTGGTGGGATACGCTCTACCCGAACTACACAGTCCGGATGGCAAGTCACGTCAAACAGACGAAGGATATCCACCCAAAGTACACCAAGATCTTCTCGAAACAGTGCTCGAAGTGATGTTGTCCGCCAAGGGCATCGACCATCTCGAGGACGAACTACTCCAAGGGACAGATCCACCAGGGCCGTAACCGACCGAATTGGTGAGAGGACCGGGGATAGTCGTGTTAAGAGGAGATCAACGGATACTTCTGTGGCTAGTGAACCTATTGCCATGATAGAAGAACTACGGGCACAATGTCAATCCCTACGTAATCAGTTGAACCACATGGAAGCATACGCTGCATCTAGAGATCAACTGATTCATGACATCGAGATCAGATTCACTGAGTATCTTCAGGAACACAACCAAATGTATTTGATGAGGTCAATGCACTCAATCATAGATTGTCATGTTCCGCAAATGAGGTTGCAGAATATCAAGCAGAACTAATGGTAGCATCTCAGGAAGACGAAGGTGCAACAATACGCATCCAAGACCTTGAACGCCGAGGTGCCCTAATGGAACATGGTGCACGACGATCCATCAACGTGGTATGGAGATCCAGGAGGAGTACAAGGATGAAGTACATCACCTTCAAGGACTACTGGGTAATACGGAGGCAAGACTGCAACAACTTCATCAAACCAATGTCTTAACCACCGATATTGCCAATCGACTATACAATGAAGGTCAAGAAATGCAGACAGATTTCCAGAACTCAATCATGGAATATCGTAATCGATCCGAAATGGCATCCTTCTCTAGCAACCAACTCGAAGTGATTAGCCAACAACAATCAATTGCAGTTCATGAATTATCTGAACGGAATCAGCTATTGAGTGAAGCTTTGGTTCAGTCTCGTAAACAGGCCGAGCTGTATGAAAGCAGTATCGACGAGATCACTAGAGAATCTAGGAAGAAGGTTTTCGAGGCAAATCAGGCCAAATTGGAAAGTGATCTGAAGCATCGAAACACTGAACATGATACCGTCAGAAGAATTGCATCATACAGGAACCAAGAGGCCGAAGCAATATCACACCTGAGGCTTGAATCACAGGCTAGTGCAAACTCGATCGCAAGGGCAGAGCACTATGAAGAGCTCTATGCCAACGAGCAGGAGATGAACTGCGAATTAAAGGATGAGATCAAGTTGCAGAACACGAAGTTGCGAAGATCGTTGACTCAGGGTACTACGACCGACGGTCGTGGCCCCGATGAGATGCTTGTTGAAGATCTACGTAATCAAGCCAAAATCGCTCAAATCAGGGTTCAGGACCTAGATCATGAAGTTCATGAATGTTTACAAGAGAACATATTGTTAAAAGAGAGATTGGCTGAAGTTGCGGATGTAGGGGCGTCGTCCCTCACCAACGCTGAGGTCCGAACTCTAAAATCTGAACTAGAGAATGAGCGCAAAATGAAGTTGGCTAGTGGTGTTCAACAGTATGAGAGATCATGCATGTTCATGGGGGAAATCCAGGATAGGGATGAAAAGATCGGTATCAAGAATTCTGAGATTGTTGACATGAAACGTCACTTAGATGAACTGAGAAAGAGTCTCAAGGATTCTGAAACATCTATATCTAGGGTCAGCCCTGACACACTTCCCTATTCGGCAGGCATTCCTAACTACGATCTCGCATCAAGACTAGTCATCGACAAACTGGAGAATGACGTGAGTGAGGCTAACTGTGAAAACGCTATTCTGAAATCTTGGGTTTCGCAGATCGACAAGGAGTTGAACTATGAGACAAATATGGCTCATTCCTATCGTGAACATGCTGTACCTTCTCAACGACAACCTTCTCAATCAAGCAAGAGAATCACTGATCTGACAACAAGATCGCTGATGGAACTGAGAGGGACTACTACAAGCCACCGAGTGGATGGGGCGGTCCGCCTGACCCTGATGGACCCCCTGACCCTTTCGGGCCTAACGGTCCAGGACCACCTCCCGAACCTCCAGGTTTGCCTTCAGTTCGAGGATCACAACGCGATTCAGCAGATGATGTCTCCACAGCGGCTTACACTACAGAAGAAGTGCCGAGAATGTCAAGACGGGAGGCTGACAAAGTCTATGTTAGCCCATGGCCGAAGCAACAGAATCTTGGGGTTTGGCAATCAGATCTCATCAAGAG